TCACTGGCCCATGACGCTTCATCGCCCTCGGCCCAATAGCATCGCCAACACCCATGTATGTACCTTGCTGCCAGAGGATGCGTGGGTTGTCGAGCGCTATTCGGGTACTTCGTTACCACCTCCTTCAGCTGTTCGTGGCGTCCACCAGTCCTTCGTGATTCTCGCCCCCCCAGAAAAATGATAGTCCACGGCTGTTTCCTGTCTCAGTCGAACGAAAGTGTGCTTGCGCGCTCGCTCTGGCCGGATCGACTCTTTCGTAACTGCCTGCTTGTCATACCCGAAGGGCTTCCGGCGGCCCCTCCTGTTTCCACCACCCCTTGGCCCTTGGCTCTTGGCCCATGTCTGCCCCCCCCCCCTTATCCCCTGTAATCAAGAGTTATGAATCGATGGGGACTGCTTTCACTTGCAACTTCCAATTTGAGGCAAAGCAACACATTCAACCCCAATGGACGGGCAACTGGAAGGACCCCGGTTTTTTTCCGTGGCTTAATCTTGCTCCCCTCCCCCCAAATCTCGTTGCTCGCAAGTCGCTCGTTCGCTCGCGCCCCGGCCCGACAAACACCTCGCCTCGATTTTCTTCGTCTGTCCACTCACCCCCTTACTGACACTCTCTCCGGATTTCCTTGACGCCGGTCACCACCTCCTCCTTCCCCTATCAATCAGCTATCCCCGAAAACCAGGGATTTCTCCTGACGTTGTACGCCTGGCGATATCGTGTGTTCCCACGCATCTCGAAGCTTCGACCGCGCACCGATTTGGTCTCCCATTCTCTGCCGTACAGCACTCACGCCTGCGTACCAGTACCAGTACCAACATCTATCTGTACCCGCCCCCACCGCCAGTGCCAAACGTCTGCTCTCTGCTGCATTCTTGCTCCAGACGTCGCACCCAGGCCTCGTACGCCTTCTACCCACCGATTTGTTCTCTCTACCTCACCTTGTTCAATACAGGGCCACCTGTAAGTGTTTCTTCTCGTACGTGCCAGGTTCACCCCCCGATCACGCCGGCGGCGGCGGCAGCAGTCCGAGCGACGCAAGGACCTGTACCTGGGCCTGGACATGACCACAAAGTAGCCGTGTCCGAGTGTCAGGTTTTCGCTGCACCTTCATCCACCACCTCCTTGTACCCGTCGCATCGCCCGGTTCTCTCCCGATCCCCACAATCATCCGCTGCCCATCTGCGACACTCACGTCCCAGACTTTTTTTCTTCCCCCCCTTATTCTCATTACGCTCCCTTGCTTCTTTGTCGGCTCCCAACTCGATCACTGACTCGATATCACCAGAGAACACCAGCGCGCGACCGGTTGACCGTTGTCGCCCCCCACACGACGTCCACTCTCCTCCTTCTCAAATAGCCGCACAGGATCCATCAACCATTAACCCCTCGCCATCAATATCGACGCGATCATGTCCTACTACGAGAACAACCCCCAGCAATGGTCCAGCCCTGGCCAGAACAACTGGGAACACCAGGCGCCGCCTGCTTCGCGTGGTGGTCAGTCAATAATGATGCTGCATTACCATCTTGGAGCCCAGTTGACACTTTTCACCCGACAGCATCCGGCGGGCCCACGCCTCAGGACGACTTTGCCTTTTTCTACCAATTTGAGGGTGAGTCGGAGCACCCACAGATCGCTGTGAAGCCTGCGAGCTTGCTGAGTCGGTGCTCGCCGTCTCGACAAAGTCGCTATGCGTGCTGCACGAAAGACAATTGGCTAACGAAATGACAAAATCAGATGTCGCCCGAACCCTCACTGCCAGGCCTACTGAACTCGATCGCTTTGAGAACGTCTCCAAAAACAACAAGTCATACGGAATGAGCGGTCGCCGTGAGTACCCATCCCCGGGCCCCAAGATGGGTGGAGGTCCTGGGGGTGGAAGGAAGTCGGTCGACTACAGTAAGTGGACTCGTATCAAGCGAGCATCACCAATTTGTTTCGCCGCTGACACTCATCTTTCGCTAGACGGTCGCATGTCTGCGGGCCCCGGATCTCGCCCTCACTCCGTCAACCAGTTCGATGATGCCCGAAACCATCCCAACTCGAACCTCCAGAACTTCTACGCCACCCAGCGCCAGCAGTCTTCGCGCGGCTCCAACGAAGCGGAGCAGATGATGCAGGCGAAGAGACGGATGGCAGCTCAACGGGAGCGTGAGCTTCGCAACCTCCACACGGAGCAGCAATACCAACGAAGTAGGCCACCCTCTGCAGTCTAAAGCACATGAGGCTTTCCAATGGCAAAAAAAAACACCCTTCAAAATAGATAATTCAGGCCATGGGGTCAACACACCTTCCGGAGCTGTTTCTCCCCGTCATATCAAACATCGAAGATGCATTTTCTTGATCTACAGTAAAGCAACGTCTGACCGAGCACTCACGCTGACCACTTATTTTATCTACAGATGTGCTGACCGACGTCAACTACAACGGCAACAGCAATGGTGCTACTCCAGCCCCCGCCACTCCCAACAAACAAATGTCGGAGGAGGAGACCCGTGAGCTCATTGCTCGCCAGCGCAGTGCTTTGTATGGAGAAGGTCCTTTCGCCGAGAAGGCGGGCTACATTGACGAGACGGGCATCGTCCGCACCGGCAACCCTGGTCACAGCGGTCCTCCCAGCCTGCGTGGTGCCTCGCCGATGGGCTACGAGGGTGGCGCTGGCCCCTTCCGTGGTGGCCTGGCCGGTCCCAGCGATGCTGCTAGTCTACGAGGCCAGTCCCCCATGGCCCAGGAGCTCCGCGGCAACCCCCCGCCGCACTCTGACGTCCACTCTGCGGCCTCAGCAGCTGATGCTGCCGCCCACGAGCAGGCCTCTCGCACTGGTAGCACAGCCAGCCCGCAGCCCAACACATCCAACAAGAATGCGTTTGACACGGCTGTCAGCCAGGCCGCTGCTCGCACCACCAACTCTTCTCCTGGCGGATCTTCGTCTCCCAGGCAGGAGGCCCCCAATGGATCGAAGCCTAGTCAGCAGAGCGCATCAGTTGCTCCTATTGGTACTAGACCCTCGGCTGCGCCCGCCGCTGGGTCCGCCGCTTCAAAGCGTTCGACTACGCCGCTGGCCTCCCCTGGAGGCTGGGGCCGCGGTAACGGTGTCTGGGGCCCGCAGTCATCTGGTCTGGGTGCTACTTCAGCCAGTGTTTGGGGTTAAGCATGCTTTTCGTGGACATTTCTGTATTTCTGGCCGCTCGTCGACCACAATAGGTACGGAATAGGCGCAAACAGGGTAGGGGTTCGACCACAACTGGTATGTTTCACTGGTCTTGCCTGGCGTTTCCTCACCACGGAGAACTCGACATATATCATTGGTGCGGCGGATCATGGGAGCGAGGGAATGCCTGGGCATTTGACATGGAGTTTCTTTCGCCACGACGGAGTCGCATTCTGCACGCTTATGGGGCCTGAATAAGTCTGCCACAGGGATAAGGATGCATATTGCGAACGGGGTTCTCAGCGGTGGTATGTTACTGCCGTTACCGGATGTGACTCAGGATACCACAACGGAAGGTTCTGGCGCGTAACTGCAACAGCAGCGGAGCAGGGCGATGTTTTACTTTCGGGGAGCTATCCTTTCGCGTTGGAGCGAGAAAATGGACATGGGGAGGGGGTTCAGGCGCGAAAAACGGCCTCTTGGAGCAACCTGTGATTGCTCGGGACGCATTACGGAAGGGCACGGGCATGACAGGGCTCGGACTCGGAATCTGCTTTTACACTTTCGACGGAGAATTGGACGCAAAACATACGATACCAGACGTCGCCTCGCATTCAGATCGGCGACGGGACCACGGGCTGACAAAACTCGACAAAAACAAAGGGGTGGGTTAACAGGATTTGGCGTGGTTTGGTGCTTGGGCGGTTTCCTTCTTCCTATAATGCTGGGTCCTCAGGTTTGTGAGGAAGGGTGTCAACACTTTTCTACTCGTGTCCTGTGGAGAGTTTTTCCTACAAGCTGCCGGTATGAATGTGCATCGTGCGGTTCTGGTAATACTGGGGTTGTGTCTTTCAATCGTTCTCGCGGAATTCTCTTTCTATCTGCTTTCCGGGTCGGGCGCGTCTGTCTCTTCACCACCACTAGTAACGAGGTTCAATCGGGTTCGGGGGTGGGGGAAATTGTAGGAGCTTGCGCAAAACTTCCTGGGCTGCGAATCGGGGCTGGACTTGTTGGCGGGCAGATAGACGACGTCTTTTGCTGGTTTCTGGGGTTCCGGGCTGTTTTTTTTTTTTTTTCCTGGTATGGCGAAGATCTATTCGAAGAAGGGACGGGGTTGTCGAATCGGGGGGCATATCTTGAGAGCTCGTAATGAAAACTGGCGTCTGCGGACTTGGTCATGTGCTTGTTGTTTGACACTGAAAGAACAGTTTCTGCATCCCCCTCCCCAAACTCTCACCATCATACAGGCGTCTTGTCGTTCAAGCAGCAAACGGTACTGCGACCCGCCAGCCCGGATCGCGTCAGCCGTGCCCACACGTGCGGAGCCGTCCGCCTCCGGCCCGATCTGCGTCGCGGCACGCGCCTTACATCCTTCCAGAAAGTGCAAACTCAAAATCCAAACCGCACATCAACTCTTGTCAATCGCGAATGCGGGCAAGCGCAGAGCGGGTCGTGCCGCATAGCCCTGTCGCGAGCGACGGATGTGGTAGAGTAATGTCTTGCCCGGTCTTCTCCTGTCCTCTCCCTTCGCGCACCGGGTCGGCCAGTTCACTTTTACTTGGGATCCCTTCCCTTGCCCGGTGTATCTGTACCAGATGCCGTGGTTGTGCCTCGTTCTTGAAACAGACGGTTTGGCGAAGCGCTGTGAAATAATGGCAGAATTGGCTGCCTTACTTGCAGGTTCCCTCGCACATATGAGCACAAGTGATAGAAAGGGTAGGTGGAAGCTCAACAAGTTATGCAGCTTGCTATGTGTACTGTTTTTCCAATTGCCTCGAGTATACTCGTCCATGTCTTCAACAGGAAGCATTGTACCGCAAAGTCGCCGTGTAAATAAAAACCAAGTGCATTCAGCTGCCCTTGAGAATCTTGACGCCCATTTCCAGATCGAGGACATCGTCCACTTTGAGCGCCTTGCCTCCCCAGACGACGGTGCCGCGCCCGTCCACGGCGAATGCGCCTGCCGTCTGCCACTTATTGCCCATCATCGTCGTCTCATCCTCGTCATTTGCGCCGCGGGCCGATGCCGGTCCTTGAGTGAGGCTCCGGCCGTTGCCGGCCGTGTTGATTCGACTTACCTTTCCCTTCGCCTCTGTCGGCATGATGTCGTCTCTGCGCGAAGTTGCGCTTGGTCGCTTCATCGCCCCGGCGACCTTCTCGCCAAGCCAACCGGTCTCTTTCCAACCCTGCACCTGGCTGCTGGGGTTGAACATGTGCCAGACGGAGCATAGTCCAAGACCCCATGCGGCGTAGATGGCGCGGTCCTCGTCAATGACCACCTCAACGTTCCATGCACCACCGATGAGGTCAAGCCACTTCTGAGTCGCCGCCTGTGACGAGTGAGAGACAGCGACGCAAGCAATCTGGTGCTTGACCGAGATGGCGCGGAGAGCAAGGAAGGTCTTTTGGGCAACTAGGAGAGTCTGTCAATGAAAATTGTCTTGAACGATCATACGTCCGCTCGCGACTACGTACAAGCGCATCCAACGCAGCGGAGAAAGACAAGCAGGACAGGCCGCCCGCCGCCAAAGGTGAGTTTGCGGTCCCTGTCAAGCGGCGCCACGTCGCCTACTTTAGGACACGCGACGGCCACAGGGACAGGCGGCGGGGGAGGTGTGAACCATGGCTGGACAGTGACGGGAATGGACTTCATCGACATCCAAGCCGGCCAGCCCCCACTGGTGTTGCCTTCGTCATAGTCTGAGGAACCGCCTCTCTTTCCCCTACTGCCATCCGGCTTTGGATCGTTCCCACCACCAAAATTGAAGTCCAACGAGTTGCTTGGCAGCCCTACCTTTTTAAGGGCGAGCTTGGTCGTCAAGCTAGAAAACATGGTTGCCTGTGACGATTCAACTTCATGCAATATCACCTCGAACTTATAGTATGTGCGCAGGGATTGGCCAGGTGCCTGACGTAGTTGGAATCGGCGACGAGGATGAGGTACGATGTTCAGTTGGGTATTGGGGCATAATTCCGAAGTGGAACACTGCAAGAAGGAGCAATATGAAAACTAATGGAAACGAAAGTGATCATTCTCTGGCCTTCGGTATTCCGTGATATGAAACTTGGGCATCTTCTGCCTGATACAGGGGACGTCGCACGTTTGCCCAGGCGGGCCTTTAACCCCTGCTCAGTATCGCAAGTTGGGAGCTATGGCGTTTTCAGGGTCCTTGTGAGCCCCTTCGCTCGAAATAGCATGGTGCGGTCCCGATTGGCTGGTTCTTCAGCGCGGGGAGAAGCAGTGGTTCAAAAACGATCGACCAGTGGATGGTGCGATTGATTGACATGCATCATTGTTGGGCTCACATGTTCCGGCTTCATCGACCGGACTGATACCCCTGGGGCAAGGCCAAGTCGGAGGTTGGGTTCGTGGTACATCGATAGAAGGATCGTAGACTAGTGGGTCGTGACCGTACCAGCTGATAAGCGCCGCGAGGAATGTGTCTTCTCGGATGGGTTGTCTCCGTGGCCAGGTGCAAAAGTGTATAAGAGTGTCGAGCACATTCCGGGAATCTCGAGTCCGTCGCCCAGTCGGACAAAGTTAGGTGCGATTGGGGGCACATGACCGGTCTCCGTCCTATACTTGCAGCCCCTCGCGTACTATCGACGCAAGAGAATGGCTAAAGACTGCGACGGAGCCAGCTCTGGATTGGTGACACATTTAATACGATTCACTATAGGGCAGGACAGCTCATGGAACCTTGAACCAACTTACAAAACACAACTATCATAGTCATGCGACACGGCCGCTCAGTACAGCCGTAAGAGGCTGACATGGTACTAGGTAACCCTGAGGCACTCTTTCAGCCGCTTCCTGTCGGATCTCGGCGCCGATGATCGATTGGTAGAGTCCAGTAACTAGACCTCTTGCTCCCGATGAATAAGCTGCCAACTGATGCTGTGTGATACGACCGCACTAGGATCAGCTTGACACCTTGCTGGCCGCACGGAGAAGAAGTGCGAGCCCAAAAGGGTTCGCATCGAAGCACGACAAGACAACGGTGATGTAAGGTCGATTGTCAAGACATGCTGAGCTAACCTTGGAGATGCGACTGGTGAAGTTCGCTTCATCCGACGCATCTCGTCGCGGGCTGGGCGAGACCTTGCGGCGCATGCAAGCCTCGGATATGCGATGCGGAAGCCCGGTTGCCGCAGCTGATTTTGGCCTGAACATGAATTGACAGATGTCGCCAAGTTCAAAGCTAGTATGCGCCGTGCTGCGATGTGCGGTGCAGTCATATAACGGCTCATCGGACGGGCAGAATCTAACAGCCAAGGGCTCATGGTTGAGGCAGATCTCGAATGCAAGCGCGGCTCAGTCTGATGTAGGATGAAATCCGTCCGAAGGAGCGATGACGCTCCAACAGTCGCTTCCAGCCATCGTGGGGTCAAGGCGACAGGGGGGCGCACCTGAGTAAGGTCGCGTTCTCCCACTGTAGTACCCAACCTTGTCTTTGGTGTTGCTTGCGCCCCCCTGGAGGCTTGTCGGCGAGCGGTTGGGGATGATGGATGAAAGATGCGGACCGGGACCGAGTTGATTGGACGTGATTGAAGTTCAGATGACGATTCGGGGCTATGGGGCTGACGCTGGATACTTCGAACCCAGTGTCATCAATGCCAAGGGAGCATGCAGAGAAGGACGAGGACTCAGCTTAATCGTCAGCCCTACTGCCACTGCCACCCAACTAATTGTTCACCGGTGCCCGCCCGATGCAGTTGCGGTCTGACTGCGGATGCTGTGTCATGTTGGGTTGTTGCATGCACATGCTGTAGCGACATGATTCTGCTCGATTGAAAGGCAGAGGTTAACTATTGTCACAGTAAGGTGGCTTGCCAGTCGAGACCCCAGTGGTTCAACAGGGCGTTGAAGCAAGGGGAAAGCTTGGTAGTGTCGGGGAGCTGATTGGCGCTGTCTGGAACAAACGGCCCCAGGGGCGTTGTTTGGGGCTCAGGAAATTCGACCGTGGTCGGTGGTTCGGGAGTTCCATATTGAGGAGAGGTAGATTGGCAATCTAGTGCTGGCGAGGACAGCGAGAGAGCTGCGGCGAAGGGGAAGGGGATTGGAAGGGGGAAGACGTCGTATCCTGTCCTGCCGCGAATTGCCGTTTCGGGATGATGTGAAGCGAGGGAAATGATACGAATGTCCATGTAACGCCGATGTCCACTCACGCATTCAATCACGCATCCTCTTTTTGCAGTTTCGACGAGGTGGTTCAGGGTCGGCTGCTGGATTTGTGATAAGTCGTGACATCTGGAGGAGCAGGAGAAGTGATATTGTCGGGTGACGGAAAGCTATGAGCCACATTCCTCAGGTTGGTGGCAGGTACCTCTCTCTGGTGTATGGGCATCATCGTCCATTGCAGTTACCGTCCTCTCATCATTCGCCCCCCTCCTTCCATATCATTGCCTACCTGTCATGTTGAAAGGCAATTGCGGACGGACCTCCAGGCCAGCCTTCGAGAAGGACCTAGCTCATCCGCACGGCCCAGAAATCCAATTCTGGCAGCCGATTCAGCACAAACGGCCCCGGTCGGTCACTGTCCGTGCACTGTGTGATGCACTCCGGGTCTTGCTACTGTGCCCTGGACTAGCAGGTGCAGGTGAATGGATGGTATTGAACGCCCCGACCCCACCATCCCACTTGTCACTGACCGAATGACTGTCCGCTGCACCAGGCTAGGAAGTATGCTGCATCATTGCCCTTGTGCTTTTCCATTCAGGGCAGGCACCACCCACTAGAATTATCGTGCTGTACTCCACCAGAAGCTGCTGGTGCTTATGCTACCGCCTGCCGCCGCCGCCGCCGCCGCCCTGAGCGCTGGAGGTTGCCTGTCCACTAAGTGTGCCTACTTTTTTTTTATCGGTAGGCAATCGGAATCGGGATACCAATCGTGATTGCCGCCTGGAGAAAAGAGATGTGGCCGACAATGAGAGAATCACCCAGCCTGGACCTACGACATCATTGGATTGGACTGCAGTACGAGTGTTGGAAAGTGGAAAGGGCCGGCGGGGAGAGACCGCCACCCCCTCCAAATAGAAGATACCTCTGAATGGGAGCTCCCTAAAACAGCCCCCCCCCCGTTACTTCCACTTACCTTGGACCACCAAGTCGTGTTGTGGGCAAACAAGAATTGGATCATGCCAAAGTCGTTTGCTCATGATTTGAATCCTCTTTTTTTTTCCTCCTCAGGGGAGATAGCGTGCGTGACTCGCTGTACAAACAGGCGGCAAGCAGCATTCTTGACAGCATCGATCGACAAGGACATCGCCAGACCTCGTGTCTCTCGTCTATCAGCCTACTTCCCCCCAACCAGCCTACCAACAGTCGGCTTTCTACATTCTGCCTCCACATCGGCCTCCACCTCTTGCATCTACCTGCCTTACCTCAGGCGCTTTCTCCCTCTCATCGCAAAGCACACATGCCGTAGGGTATCGCAGCGTACCTTACCTTACCGTCATACCGCACCGCACCGCACCGAACCTCGCTGCAGCAGCGCTACACAGCAACCCGCCGTGCGAACTGCCTACTCGGTCACCTGCACGTACCGCCGATCCCAGTCAACCACATCCACCCCATCTAGGTACCTAGCAAGCACCTTCTAGAGAGACCTTTGCCCTGCACACCCGTGCGTGGCACACCCCGACCTCGCAGCCACGGCCATACATTTGCAACAAGACTCGAGACCGAGGGGCGAGAAGGAGAGAGAGAGTGTGTGTGTGAGAGAGACAGGCAAAAGGGGTGGCAGCTCCACCGTGCAAATACCGGGTCGGCTCAGACTTTTGGCCCATTCCCTTTGACGACAGTGTCCCTCCTGTCAAGACACTCCGCGGTCCCCTTTCGCCGCCGCGCCCACCCTTGTCCATTTGCTTTTGGGACCAATGTCCCCGATCTAACGATTCTCCACCCGTGCGACCCTTTTACCACCGTGCCTTCCACTCCCGCGCACCTACCAAGCAACGTCAACGACAGACTCTCTCTGGCCCTTCCCCTTCCTTCACTCACTCGATCGACCGACCGACCGACCGACTGACAAACCGACATAACACACCCTCTCCTCTTCTGACCCGAACGATCAACCGACAGTCCGACCACGAGAAGGGGCACAGTCTCGCGCCGTGTACATCATTTGGATTACTTTTCGCGCACACTACTATATACCCCCCTCCCAGCGGCCACATACAACATACTGCGTCCAGGCTTATTTCCCTCTCACGGAAACTCGAGTCCTTCTTCGCTTTGGCACCTATCCTCGCCCCCAAGAAATCGTGGTCTCGCTGCTTGCTGGTCCAGTCGTTTCTACTGCATCTGCCTTTGTTTCGTTCTGGTCGTTCGCTGGTCGGCACTCTCCTCCCCCCTTCGCTCCGTCTGACAACCCTTCACCTCTGTCAAACGACCACCACAACCTCCTACCCCGACAGCGACTCCCCTCAGGGCCATCCACGATCCCTCTGAAGCCTTGACTCCCGGCACTCGCTGTTTCGATCCCGGTTGCCGAACCAGGATCGCTTAATGGCAAGTCAAGCCACTGCAACCGAAGAGACGTATAGTTATTACTCCTCCGCCTCCTGGCATCACCACGCTGCAAACGCCACCGCCCCTGTCTCGGGAACGCCACCCTCGACAGCGAAGCAGAACTCCCAGCTTTCCTGGACCAAGTATCACACAAGTGCCGCAAACCCATACACCGAGTCCTCCGGTGTCCACAACTCACCCACGGCGAGTTTGGCCCTGTGTTCCTCACAGCTCTCTCTACAGCGCAGTCTGCACTACAGCATCTGATTCTCCAGGCGGGGAGGCGGACTGCAGCAACCACAATCGCTTCCTCCCTCCACCGTGGCGACCCCAAGTCAGAGCCAGTCGGCTGGCCGGTCGAGAGCCTCCTCCAAGGTGTCGAACAAGGAGCACCCATCCTCCAAGGGCAACGAGAAAGGCCATGGGAATAAAGCCGCCAACAATAAGGACAAAGGCGACAGAGCTGTCATAGCAGGCAGAGTTTCGCCCACGATGGCTAATCCGAAGCAGAGCCAGCACTCTCAGGGCGAGCACCTGTCCCACCCCTTGCCCGCGCGTCCTCGTGGTGGCCACAAGCATGCAATTCAACCCCACTCGAACTCGGTCCCTTCTACTCCTCAACAACATGCTAGGAACTTCTCTTACGAGTCGAGGGAGCCCTCTCCTACCGCCAACAACAACCACTCACCTCGGTCGGCGTATTCCGAAACCAACAGCGCCCTTCCCTCGTTACGACCGCTTGTCCCTACCATTACATGCAAATTCGAGACGTCATCGTACAATTTTAAGAGGCGAATGCCCTACAACATCGGCAGCGGTGTCTGCGAGAAGGTGGACGCGGCCAAAATCAAGACAAGGTTGACGGAGGAGCACGAGCGAAAGCTGACATCCGACATGCGTGAGCTCTACGACAGGTTACTACCAACGCCGAAAGTCGAAGAAAACCGTCAGAAGTTGGTCGCGAAACTACAGAAGATTTTCAATGACGAGTGGCCTGGGCATGATATCAGAGTGCACCTCTTTGGCTCCTCGGGAAACTTGCTTTGCTCCGACGACTCAGATGGTATGTTGCATGCGGACACTGTATGGACCAGAAGACCTTGACTGGCTAGCTAACGCCTATTCCTTCCTAGTCGACATTTGCATCACGACGACGTGGGCTGAGCTCGAGGGTGTCTGCAAGATAGCTGAGCTGTTGCACAAGAGTAAGCCCGCATCCGTCGTCTCGACACCCCCGTCCATGTGGAGCATCATGCTGACAGTCTCTTCTCAATCAGAGGGCATGGAGAAGGTCGTTTGTATTTCTGCCGCCAAAGTCCCCATCGTCAAGATCTGGGATCCCGAGCTTGGTTTGGCATGTGATATGAACGTCAACAACACATCTGCTTTGGAGAACACTCGGATGGTGCGGACCTATGTTGAAACCGATCCGCGGGTTCGTCCGTTGGCTATGATCATCAAGTATTGGACAAGGAGAAGGATAGTCAACGACGCCGGTAGGTCCCAGCCTTGCTCTTACACGTATTGGTTACCTCTGACTGACGTTGCTCTCCGCAACAGCTTTCGGCAGCACTCTCAGCTCGTACACGTGGATTTGCTTGATCATCGCCTTTCTCCAATTGCGAGATCCCCCAGTCCTGCCGGCGTTGCATCAAAACAAAGCCATGCGGCTTTCCAAGAAAGGAGGACCCGAAAGCACCTTTGCCGACGATATCGATCGTTTGAAGGGCTTTGGTGATAAGAATAAATCGACACTAGGGGAGCTTTTGTTCCAGTTCTTCCGGTACTACGCGCACGAGTTCGACTACGACAAGCATGTCCTCTCGGTGCGACAGGGGAAGAAGCTTGTTCGATCCGAGAAGAAGTGGGCAAATAACCTCTGCGTCGAGGAACCCTTCAATATTGGGCGGAATCTGGGTAACACCGCAGATGAGTACTCATTTCGGGGACTCCATCTAGAACTTCGGAGAGCATTCGATTGCATCGCCGAGGCAAAGCTGGACGAGTGCTGCGAGCAGTACGTGTTTCCGAAGGAAGAGCAGCCACCGCCTTTCATCCGGCCACCAAACGCCCCTCGTCCGGTTATGATTCGGAGTTCGTCGCAGAGCAACCAGTCGGGTCGCGGAGGGCGAGGCAACTATCGCGGAGGGCGCCACTCGAACAATTATCGAAGCGGGAACTCGAGTAGACGAGCATCATCGGGAGTGGCATACGACACCAACACGATGTATATGCCCCAGAATCCGATGACACCGCAAGAGGTTGCTTGGTACCAGCACGCGGCCGCCCAGCAGCTGCAGTACCCGGGCATTGTGAGTAGCAACCCGGTGAGTATGCTTGCACTGGATTCTAATGCGCACCTGCAGCTTTTCAACCAGTCTCAGGTGCTCCAGATGCAAGCTCAAATGGCAGCTCAACTACATGCTCATCAGAGGATGCAGGGCGGCTCATCTACGCCCCAACAGCAGTCTCAGCAGTCTCAGCAGGGCTCATCTGAGCGCTCGAGGACGAATTCGTTTGAGAACCCCCCGCTCAGCGCTCCCCTCGCTGCGTCAGACTGGTACAGCATGTACAACTTGCAACTCCAGGCCTTCTATGGCGCGCCGGCGTACACGTACCCACCCTCGCCGGCAACCACGTCTGCTGCTGGACCAGAGTACAGGAGGCAAAGATCGACGATGGCAGCTGACTCGGGCGCCTCAACGTCGGGAAGCTCGCTTAGATCGCAATCCCAACCAGCATCACGCTCGGCTCCCCAGGGCCAACCAGGCCAACCCTTCTCAGGCTCGGCGCCGCAGTCAAATGGCATTGCGGGCCCACGACTCGCTAACGGCGTCTCTATCCCCAGCTTCACGCCGGAGGATGCAGACTATGATGCGGTGCCTAGACAACCGAACAAAGACTCCCCAGCGTCTGAAGAAGGGACGTACGCTGGGTATTACGTGGCTGACACCTCGAGCCCAAACCAGCGGGCACAGCCCATTTCCAACGGTATTGCCTTTGGTGATCTGGCACATAATGCCCAAGGCCGGCGCAGATTGTCGACCGACCAGATCCCGCAAACATTGCTGGATCGCCGTCTCCGAAGGAAGTCCCGCTCCCCGTCGCCATCGCCCCTGGGTCATGCCAGAGCGTATTCGATTGGCACCCAGGCAGGCCCATCATCTTCTGCTCCGATGACTGTACCAGCCAACCCGAGCAGTGGCAACCGATCAGCCGCTCGGCCTCTGGTGGTCAATGGTACTGGGTCCTCGGCATGGCGGGCAAGCTCGATCCCTTCGCACAGGCAAGGAGCCTCCAATCTGTCTGTCACTGATAATATTGCGCGGGAAGATAATGTCGCACCCTGTCCCGACAACGTCTACAACGTTCCAGGACTCGGCATCAGCACGCAGTATGCACCTGCGGTAGACCTTCCACTCGCGGTCACGGCAGACGTTGCCCGTTCCCAAAGCTTGGTGCCTGAGACACGGACGCCAGTCATTGTGAACGGAAGCACGAATGTGTCAACCTCCTCTGCCGCAGCAGGCATTCCTATTTCTGGTGCTGTTCAGCCCATGGAGGACGCCTCTTTCCGAGACCGCATCAACCTCATGGGATTGACGAATTATCAGACTCAGCAAGCAGCATTCCAGTCTGATGCCGCAAGTGGTGTACCAACCTCGACGACGAGACAAAGGTTAAGCACTAGACAACTCCAGAACGGGGTGATTGCACCGCTTGATCTTGCAGTCCGTGAAGGTCGTAGCAGTGGGCATCCGCTGGCCCTTGACCCACAACATCTCTCTCCTATCAACGAGACAAGATCTCCATCGCCGACTACCGTCCGTAAGCTTGATCACGCGTTCAAGACCGACAACACCAATCTGCCCCGTAGTGGCACCATGGACAGCCTGGCCGAGCCTTTCCGACCTGGACAGGCTCTCACTGAGCAGATGATGTTGTCTGCCAAGGAGCAGAGTCAGCTGCCAGTCACTGGTCAAGGCGCAGCACGAACGTCAGCGGCGCCGTCTGGGCATCCTCTGCAGGTGTCACTCACGCCGAACCAAATTCCACCCTTCAACCCGAAGCTGGGTGATTCTCGCGAGAATGGACACACCCGTGGCGCCAAGAGCGAGAGCCATAGTGCCGATGGTGCGTGGCAGAAGGCCACCAAGAGCCGCAAAAAAGGAGGGGACGGCCGGGTTGCTGCACCCAGTGAACAACCTCCTCGACGCGGAGAGGACAGAAAGGGCGGCTGAGGCGGTTTTGCCCTAGTCCTGTGTCTACACGTTCGGTAGATGCGCTGCCAGATGCAGATCGTTGGCTGGGTTTTGGAAAACAGGAAAGCGCCCAGGGCCGAATCTTGCATGACTGTGCTGCGCCGGCTTTTACGGACTCTAGTTGTCTGTACGCATTTCGCTCGACTCTAGTTGGACATGCGTCTTTAGGATGCCATCTTTCGAGCCCAGTCAAGAACGAGGGATGAGACATGCCTTCGAGGACAGGAGAGGAGTGATGAAGGATGATGAAATCGGCGCCTGTTGTAGGATTGTATGGTCTACGTATAATGAGGCGGACGGGAAGACGCATTGAGGCAATCGGTGTCCTCATGACTAAAATCAGGCGTCAGGTCAATAAGCGAGGACAGTAGAGGTGGAAGACGCCTAGGCAGCAAGGTCTGCCAATTTCACAGCATCCAGTCATGGACCAGGGTCTGCAAGTGGAAATGCCCTCATTCAGGGCGGATAAAGATGGTAATAGACCGTCGGACACAGGACAGCAAATGCTCTTTTTTTTCAACACGCTCCGCCGACCTTTCTTACGCAAGCACCTTGCCTTTCAGAATCACTCAGCGAAAAGAGGTCTCATCCTCATCCAATGTGCGAAGGACGAAATCACTTGTCCCGGTTCTCGCTGGCGATCACAGTATGGAGGTTGCGCCATCAAACAGCTGGCAGTCCTCGCTCGCATGTATCAGAGTATACAGCTCGCGGCCGGCCCCTGAGTGGGTATCTTGGTTGCCCTTTACACCATGGGCAGCGCAAACATCACCAGAGCAGCGTGCGAGTTTGGTCATCGCCTGGACAGGCTTTCTCTCCGTCGTTCCCTTTCAAGCCTAAGGGTTTCTGAGTTTTCGGTGGGCAAAGAAGGTACCCGCATTTCCGTGATGGTACGTTGCACATTGTCACATACGAGGGGGAAGGGGGGAGACGGGAAGATCAGCGAAACCGTACATGCGCGAGGACAATCTTATGGGGCTGGCTGGCTTATTTTCAAAACGGTGTTTTGGTTGTACAGCAAATAGATCAGAAGCTTTAGCGACGAGTCAGCATGTTGAATGGCAAACATTTTGTTTTAAAGGATCTGATAGGGCGCCTGCAGCCTTTCTCCCTTCGCAGTACTGTCATGACTGGATTATCGCTATAGGTACCCGTGCGTAAACTGTTTTCCCAAAAGCATTTGTCACAAAACACTTCCCCAGATATCAAGGGTCGTCAGCCAACGTGTCCCTTCGTCAATTGGATCTGGTCAGGTTTGTTGGTTTCCCGCGCCATGCTTGGTGGCGCGGTACTGACACCCGTCGCCACGAGAAGGCCAACCTCAAGACGAGCGCCCTGCGAAAGAGTCAGCAAAACCAGGAGGGGGGGAACACTTAACCTTGGTTCCAACGCCTGGCCGTTTCGCTCCAAAGTCCCCCTGACCTCTCCGCCGCAGCCCATCAGGAAAAGCCCCGCCAACCTTGTCCCTCTACCACAGAAAGCAGAACGAGCTACAGTCGTCTTCTTAACCCCAAGCTGGCCCCCCATAACAACCCTTCAGATACAACCCTCGACGATGCAGAGGGTAGGACTCCCTTCCCCATAGTAGGGGACGTTTTCATGCGGCTGTCCGCCGCTTTCCAGAACCCAGTGTTGCCTCCGTGGAGGGTAGGACTCCCTTCCCCAAAGTAGGGGACGTTTTCATGCGGTAGACAGCTGCTTTCCAGAGTCCGGTGTTGCCTCTGCGGCCGGGGCTGTGCGACCTGTCGAGCGAGATGAGGTGCCTGAAGACGACAAGGCGACTGTAGCTCGGAGTTCTGCTTCTTGTGAAGGGCGAGAATGGCGTGATGGACTTTTATACCCGGTGGCGAACGCGCCGGCATGTGAGATCTTGGAACACGTCAGTTCGCACTTTTGCTCTCAAAAATAAGCGGGATCACAAGGCTCTCGTTTCCTTACCTCAAAAGACATTGGGCGAAGAAGTGCGGCTAGCGGAAGAAGATGAAGCGGTGTCGTCTACCGCGTGTTCGCACCTTTTTCGCGGGCGCGGGAATCCTGGACGCCTTCGAAACGGCGGTGGTCGTGGCGCTGTCGATGCACCGTCGACTGCTTGTCG